GCCTGTGTCTGCAGGGCTCTGGGAAGGGACCCACGGCTCTTCTAGGAATATTTATTTCTGGAATTACTTGCGTGAATGGATCCGAATGATTTCCATAATATTACCTTTGGTAATTCCCAGGACTTGAGCAGTTCTTACTGAAGAGCTGATGAGGTGAAAGTGGTTAATGCTGCAGCAGCTCCTGGTCCCAGGCTAACCCCAGGGCTGGATTCTGGCGTGCTGCCTTTATCATGGTCAGGTCCCTTTTTTTTCCTACCAGCATAGACTGAAATACAGGGCATGAAGTAACTCCAGGACCTTAAGCTTTGTGTGAAGCCATTACAAACACAAATCTGAGGATGGGGTACGGGTTGCCTGCATCTCTGAGCAATGGCCAGTCAAGCTGCTTCACGTTCAGATATATCTCTGCAGTTTGCTGAGGTGATGCTGAGGATGGTTTTACACTTGTACACCTGCCTTCTGACTCAGGGCTCGGAAGAATCCAGATGCATCCCCATCAGTGTGTCTGCTTAAATTAGAGGTGACAAATTATTGATAATTAGCATCGGTTTTTTTTGTTTCACCATTGCAAAATGTGAATTTATAAAAGGCAATTTATTTTTATCTTTGGCCTCAGGAACTCCAGAGCAGTTGTACTTATTCTTAATTGCTTGTTTTATGGGTGAAAATTAGGCTGTAACACAAACTGCAGTGTGAGGAGTCGCAGATAGAATGCTAGCAGTGTTGGAACATCAAGGAGGAAAAACTGGTGCTGGGCTTTGCCTGATACTTCACAAATTCCAATTTTTATTAAGTTTAACAATGCCACCATTTCCAAGCATTCTATAACTAAATATAGTAATGAAATTTTATTTGAAGTCAGGAACGTTATCCAGATATGACTTGATGTGTGTAAGATACTGCACATCAATGGAGTGGTACAGATTGTGTTAAATGGGCCTGAAATAATCTTCGGGAAAGAAAATCGTTTTCTATTCTTCTTGACACAAAGTGTTTGTCACAGATACGCGTTCTTATCCGCATCTTGTTAGTGAAATCATTATACTTTTCATTACAACTTTTATGCAAATACGCTGGTTTTCCTTGATTAGGTTTGCATGAATACGCTGTAATTACAGGCTGAGGTGTTATTAATGTGTAACAATTAAATATGAAATTACGATGTGTAATTACAGCTTGAAGAAAGTGTTGTAATAGCGCGCGCGCGCCACGCCGGCTTGCAGGCAGGGTGTTGCCCACGGGAGATAACAGCTCTGATGTTCTGCACATTTATCCTAACAAATCTTCTTGGCAGAGGAGCATCCTCGAGCAGAAGGAGCCGTTCTGGCTGGGGATGTGTGGGATTAACCCATGCCCTGTGCAGGAGCTCAGGGCATTGGAGGGCAGCGGGGGGACGCTGCTGCACCATGCACAGCTCCGCTCTACTGCTGCGTGTTGGATTTTAGGAGTGAGGACCCTTCCATCCCTTCTCCAGCTCCCGGTGCTCAAGGATACGCTGCCTTGGGGACTTGATGATCCTCGCGTATGCTCTGTTTGATGTCTGATGGATCCCCAGGAATACATCTACTCCTGGTGGAAAGACTTGGTGCCCAGCAGGGGATTGAGTTTTTAGCTTCAGACTGGTGCTGTAGTTCACTGATTCTGCTGCGATTCGGATGTATGGATATATATGGGTGAGAGGGTCTGTGCTTAAAAGGTGCTCTCTGCTTTCCTGTATGGTCCTTTATAGGTTAATAGGACAAGGGGAAATGGCTTTAAACTAAAAAATTGGACTTGTCAGTTAGTCATTAGGAGGAAATCCTTTCCTCAGGGGGTGGTGAGGCGCTGGCGCTGCTGCCCAGAGAGCTGTGGGTGCCCCATCCCTGCAGGCACTCCAGGCCAGGTGGGATGGGGCCCTGGGCAGCCTGAGCTGGTGGGGGGCAGCCCTGCCCACGGCCGGGGGTGGCACTGGGTGGGCTTTGAGCTCCCCTCCAACCTGAGCCTTCTGTGATTCTCTCCCTCCTGTACGTGTGAGGAGAAGCTCCATGCTCAGGCTGTGGCACTGCTGGAGGTCCACCGGAGCTCATGCTGAACTCTTCTCTGCCGCTTTAACACCAGCTGTGAATTGGGGCTTTGCTAGAGAGAGTCACTTAAGGGCAACTCTTCAGCCACGTCCTGAGGATGTGCAGAGTGCTCCTTTTACCTGGCTCTAGGACACGTGGTTGGTTATGTATATCTGGAGATGAGGTCTGTTTTCCTTTTGGTGTTTTTTTGCTCTGATGCTCTGAGGATGATTTTGCTTTAGCTCCCTTCCATTGAAGTGTAGGCCAGGCAACAAGAATGCCTGGGGGGTACATCTTGAAGAGGGCTACCACGAAGCAGATAAAACAGTAATACTTCTTCTGCTGGAAGAATACCAATGAGGGACTGGAAGAACCTGCTTAACTTCAATTTTATCTGTACTAAAAAAGTAGCTGAGGAAGAATACAGATCGGGCACAGTTAAAACACACCTCATATCTGCATTGCAGTGAGGACTCGAGCTAATGGCTGGAGGTTCTCAGATAGGTGAGGGAAGAAGGTTTGAGGTGATGGGAACCAGCTGATGGTATCCTGGTGCTGCCCTGCGTGAGCACAGAGCTCCTGTGGGAGGATGGCTGCGTCCTGGTGTGGTGTTGCTTTGTGGCCTGCAGCTGCACGTGTGCTCCTGCTGTGCATGCACAGGGGTCTGTCCTTGCTGTATGACTTCTAGCAGAGCTGCCACAGAAAGCAGATAGATCCATTATGGCGATGTTAACTCAGGGCTGCTGCAATTGGAGTTACTGCAGCTTTTCTGTCCTCAAACGAGTTATTTTTCCTTGGTGAGCTCTCTGCAGTGAAGTGTTGCTCCTCTGTGTGCTGTCTGTGTTGAGGATGCGCGGGGCACACTCTGGGGAGACGTAGGCAGAGTTAAAATCGACCTCCAGGATTTGTTCTATTGAAATTGATAGGAAGAAGCATCCTAGCTGCTACCTTCTCAAATGCATTAATAAATTAAACCCTTTGCTTCAGTATCTGGAAGCTCCACGTGGAGGTATGCATTCAGTTCTCTTAATGCTGGAAGAGTGCAAACTCCCTTCAGGTTGTTCCTTTTGTGCCCTCCCTCAGCCTTGCTGTGCTGTCCATCTGCATGATGCTCAGATGCTGTTTGCATTCCTTCTCTTGCCTACTGGAACACACGTGCCCTTTGAAGTTCTACATCTCTGGAAACTTTTTTTTCCAGACACCTTATTATGTCTGGTTTAATTTCTGTTAATCCACTTGTGCGTGTGGCTTATGAGTTCTAAATGATGGGATTTTTTCCTCTGTGTGACACTTTGCTGCGTTTTCAATTGGCGCTGGCAGAAAGAATACAAAAATTAAAATGAAAAAAAAAAAGAAGAGAATCGGTGACCTCAAGGTGCTTGCTGGAATTCTCCTCTTGGAAAAAGGCCAGAAGAGCTTTTCCAGTGGATTCAAGGTCAAGCTGGTCCAGGAGCATGTGACTGAGCTATGGATGTCCCTGTTTGTTGCACGGGAGTTGGACCAGGTGGCCCTGAAGGGTCCCTTCCAGCTCAGACGATCCTATGATGAAGTATTAACGCACTTCCAGATACTGAGGATATCCATTTCTTGCTTTGGGAGGATCGCAAAGGGTTTGTTTCTGTTTGTTGGAGCCCCTCTTGTGGGAGGGATTCAATGTCAGCAATTGTAGAAGTGCACTTTGGGAGAGGTCTGGGTGTAATTAAAGACGTGTTGGCAAGGGCGTATATTTAAATGGCTTTGCTTTTTTCATGGCATCCTTATTACAGCTGCAGGGACACTTGACTTCCTTTATTTTTGCTTTGGAGTTGGGTTTTTCAATCAGTTGACGTGCAGCAAGAGCTTCTCTTGGAGAGGAAGGGCAGCCCCTGTTTGCTGCCTTCCTGCTGCTTTGCGTCCCAGAGCACGAGCTGTGCTGGGATTCCTAGCACAGAAACACTGCTTGCTGTCTTAGCTTGGAGAAACGAGTTATTGTGCCGGCAAGAATTGTTTGAAGAATTAAAATTGACCCATTTCCTTCAGGCGCAGTGAAGTTAATACTCAGGAGTGTTAACATCGTAGGAGTGATTTGAGAAGTATTATTTGTCAAATCCCTGAGCTAATATGTATGTAGGTATAAATAAAAAGGCCTCAAAGGTTGTTTCAGTATTTATTAACCTCTCCTCTTCTTCAGGGGCCTAACTTGGCTGCTAAAGCTTGGCCAAGGCTTTTAGCTAGCTGTGTGGATGCTGTTTCCCAACATTCTAAAGCATCTTCCAGGAGGAAAAAAAAAAAGGATGTGTTAACACCTGCTATGAGAAGTTTCATGGCTGTTGTTGCGTGCTCTGCTCTTCTGTTAAATGGAAGGAATGTGGAGATGTGGCACTTGAGGATGTGTTTGGTGGACATGGTGAGGATGGGTTGGACTTGGTGATCTTGGAGGTCTTTTCTAACCTTAATGATTCTATGGTTCTGTGTTTCTAACTGGTGTCATGTCCTGAACGCTTCTGTCTGCTGATTTGTGGTTGTTGTCATACATCTGGACATAAACGAGGAACTTCCAGAGGCTGTGGGTAGAGTTCCTCTTCTTTCTTTGAGGGCAGCACACTCTGAGCAGCAGCTGGCTCTGGACTGAGCTTCAGATGAAGTGGTACCCATGCAGCCACTGGAATGGGTGCATGAGAGCTCGGGACGGCCCTGCTGCTGGGAAGCATTAAGTCACAGATAACATTTAGCACCTTTCTTTTTTCTGTGATGTTACTTGAAACTGGGGTCTATATTCATTGCATTTTGATACTACAGAATAAAAGCACCAAACGACATTTTTCCTCCTCTAGGTTTCTGGATCTAACTTGCTACATTTGTACTAAACTGATCTTTTTCTTCCCATTTTCTTTAGGTAAGTGGATGCGATTTGAGTGTTAATGTTCTGCATTGGACGAGTGCTGAGTCTGGACACTGGAAACCGTAAGCCTTGTGTCAGCTGGGAGATGCTGCATGCAGATTCTGCTGCACCAGAAGCGATGGACCAGCAGAGCTGTGGTGTCCCTGCAGCACAGAGTGGGGTCAGCACGTGTTGGTTGGAAATGTCACTCCTGGGTTACAGGTTTTTGTCTTTTTCTGGTATTATCCCAGTGGACTGAGGAGAAGAGAATTTGAACTTTTCCTTGCCTGTTGCTGTTGTGGAATTGCATTTAGCCTTTGCCATGCACTGATTTTTATTTATTTATTTTCCCCTGATTCTTCTTTTTTTCCATAGTATATTTACAATTGTTACTCGTTCTTTGTTTACAAATGCAGTTTGATTCCTTGGCTTGGGAGTGTTCTTCAGCTTAGTGTTGGAAGGGAGCGTGAGGTAAAGGCAGGAAGGGATCTTTTATTTCTTTATTTATTTTATTATTATTTTTAAGTAATGCTTAATCTAGAATTAAATTCGGAGGAGTGCCTGGAGAAAATAAGATCTCTCTGATCAGATTCTCTGAATACTTTTTGTCTTATCTAATAAGCAGGAGAAGCCAGTAAAGGGAATTATATGCTGGAAGGGGAATTTTAATAGCAACCGATATGCAAAGAGGAAAGTATCTCAAGTGAACAAAGGATACAGGCTGGCAAACGATGGATCTTTTCCCTGCCTGAAAAATGCAACTTCTCTGTGGTACAAACCTAAAGCCTGGCCTTCCTCGCTTAAGCTGGAGAAGTCTTACCAGTTCCCTTGGGGTTCTGGGGTTGTAAGAATCTGAGGTCCTTCCCTGTTGATTTGGGAGCCTCTAAGTAGAAATAGAGGTATACCAACTGCTACTTTACTGCCTGTAGCATACTCAGTTCTGATTGTAGAGGCGTTGGTTGTGTAAATGAATTTGTTTTGCAACCCTACTTTGAAGTACCTGACTGTTAATTAAAAGCTGTCTTGATAAAGGAAGAAATTTAAACTTGACTGTCCTGTGAGTGGTGATTTCAGCTGAGTTAGTTATAGGAGAGGATGTTGCCTCTTAATGGAGGTGCAGTCATGGTCTGCTGTCTGAAGTCAGGGCTGTTTCCTTCTGTTCCTGATGCCTGGCACGTTACAGCAGAGTACGAGCATCTTGCAGTGGGTGTTAGGTGCTCTCACTACCTTCTTGTCTAAGAACCCAGTTAGATAATGCAGAATTCTGTCTGATTTCTGGAGGTGGTATTTCGGGAGCTGCGTGCTGGGGGCAGGGCTAGCAGAAAAACCCGGGGTGCTGGCAGATGTGGTGTCATTAAATTGGAGGAGGCAGAGAGCTGAGCGCTACGGGCAGCCGAGGAGCTGGTGCTGTTCAGGGTCGCTCATTTTTCATTGTACTGCAGCTAATTCCAATTAAAGCAGAAGGCATTTTGTTTTTTTAAAGTAGGAAATACGGAAAACTTTGATTTCTTGTGGTGAGTTGCTCAGAGCTGGGCAGTCGAGTCCCATCATGCAGGGCTCCACGTTGAAGTCATGCAAACCGTGGGTCCAACAGGTGGTTTTCAGGGGGGGATGTGTGTGTGATAAAGGTCTGGATGAGCATCCCTCTTTGCCTGTGCAGCTGGAGGCACCAGTCTTTTGTATGTGCTACCAGACGTGTGGAGAGTCCCTTAATGAGAAGGGGAAAATGGGAATGAGAGCAAACGAAATTATCGTTCCAAGCAGGGCACACGTAGGAAAAAAAAAAACAACACAAAACCAGGAGAATATACCTGGGTAATGTGTTAGAATTCCGTTTTTGAGCAGTAACACCCTCGTCGTTGTATTCAAACACTGAGATAAATGCATCAATCTAAATTCATGATTTTGGTTTTTCCGTACAGTTGCTAATTATTGAACATAACTAGCTTATTCATAATTTCTTTTCTCCTTCTGCTTGATAGCCTTAATCCTGTATTTGTGCGGCTGTCATTCCCATGGTAACAGACTAGTGTCTGAAGCAGAAGATTATTAAATACAGAATAGCACATTAAAATAATGTTAAGGTTCTGACTTAGAGACTTTCACATGGGGGCAAACTTCAAAAAAAGAAAAAAAAAAAGAGAACATCTTTACAAAACGCAATTTACTTTGCCAGTAATGTTCTCTATTCCCACAGCTATTACTGAAGAGATTTGTTTGAGTAACAGCCTGCTCCCTCACAAGCCATCTTCTCCTCCTGCTTTGCAGAGAAATCCTAATCTGATGTTTATGTCGTCAGTCTGTTTCCATGGGAACTTTGTCATCAATGTATCATGACCTCACAACAGGGCGGCAGAGGAGGAAAATGTAGGTTGAGAGGCAGTATTAAAAATGATGATTTAAAAAAAAAAAAAAAAAAAAAAAAAAGCCAAGCTCTAGTAGATGGAACAAAACAGAATAGAGAGAAGGGAAATGGGGTTGTCGTGCACTTAGCTCGGAGCTTCTTTATGTGCATGTATACGGCCACGTTTGTTTTGTCTCCCAATCTTACTTTGCAGAAACTTTCCTATAAAGACATGTCAGTGCTATGGCTCTGTTTATCCCTTTGGGTTCGTGGCAGCGTTGAGCATCCGAGGCTGCATCAGCACACAGCAGGGGTGGACACAGAGTTTCCTTCAATTTGGTGCTGGCTGCTGCTGGGCTGCGGCTCATTCTTCCAGTGGCTTTCCTGGAGCAAGTGCACCCATTGGTGTTGGGAGCACAGAGGCAGTCCTGAGTGCTTGGCAGACTTGTGTGATCCCCCTGAGCTGTCAGTTAAGGCATGGTGTGGGTGACTCTGGTGTTCATCAAGGCGGCGTGGCTCCCAGCTGTAAAGGGTGTCACCATGTGGGTGCAAACCCATCACCATGGGCACCACCGTGCTGTGTGTACATTCATAGCACCATCAGGTGTCACTATCTTGGTGCATACACAAATCCTGATGGGGCACCACCATGTTGTGCGTGTTCCTGTCACCATGGGATGCCACCACGTTGGTACAGATAGGGTTCTGTGGGGTCACTCTGCCTGGAGGTGTTCAAGAAAAGGGTGGATGTGGCACCGACGGACGTGGTGAATGGGCAGCATTAGCAGCAGGTGGTTGGTTGGGCTGGATGATCTCAGAGGCCCTTTCCAACCTTTATGATTCTGTGATTCTAGGCAGAGATCTCCGAAGGGAGGGAGGTTCTCCTTCTCATGCAAAAGGCAGCGTGCTGGAGCACGATGGAGCCTCTGGGGTGTGCTGACTGATCTGTATGCCTGGGCTTGGAGCAGGGGCTTGTATCACCCTGCTTTTCAGCTCGACCATTTCCTAAATATCAAGCGAGTAGCAAGCCAAGATGATAAAAATAGAGAGCTGCATACGGAAAGACGCAGCTGCTCAAACGTTATCTTCATTTCCAGGTGCTTAAAGCAGTGAAGCCACATAGAGAAAGTGTGATTGTCTGCATACATCAGGCATTTTTAATACAATCCTTCACAGTGCTAATAGATCTTTGTGCAGCTTGAACATCAATGAGTGCTACTGGCCACTCCAAATAGTAATGGATAGGTGAACGCTAGGCTTTGCAGACAGCTGATGTGTAGTGTGTGCTTCAGTATTCCTTTTCTCTTATAAGCAGGTTCTCTCACTTCTAAAGAGCTTAAGCATCATTTTCCTCTTCAGTTGGTAATGCTGCAAGAATCGTGCAAGTACAGACTTCTGTGTTCTGCCTGCAACTTAAACCTTCTCTTCTTTATTTGCTCTGTTGATGCTTTTCACGTGCTTTTTGGTTTTAACAAACAAGATTTTCCCCACAGAAAATAAAAAAAAAAAAAGAAAAAAAAAAAAAAAAAAAAGGAAAAAAGGCTATAAGGAAACATTATCAGAGTATCTTGTTTTGCTCTTAGCCTTAAGAAATCTCCGACTTCAAAAGCAGACAGCGTTTGGTCTGCTTGATTCTTTTTTTTTTTTTTGTACCTTTCCTTTGTTCCATTTACAACGTGTGCTGCCTAACTTTGTTTTAGTCTACAGCCTGTGATGGCTTTACAAGACAGTTTTGTAAAATCAGAGAGCTGTAACGTTTCCTGCAATGGATTTTGATGTTTCTTCCATCCCTGACACGTCCCTCTGGCTGCCAGGGGGAGTTTGAAAACTTCCACTTGGATCGGAGCGGGCATCCCCTTGAGTATCCTTCATAGGTGCATTTTAGAAGTGGGAAATGACAAAGTTAGCAGAAAAATATCCTTTGTAAGTAGGGCATCTTCTGTTGCAGAGCTGCTGCTGTTTTGTAGCTGTTGTCTTGTCCCCCCCCCCCCCCAGCAGCCCTGTGCCTCCCGGGTAATTTATGACCAAGGCACTGAAATTCTATATTTGGGTGATATATTGAAAAATCCATTTGCTATCAATGACTTCCTTTAATATAAAGGGAAGCGGATTTATGGCAAGAGGAGCACTGGCATCACAAGAACCTGTTATCTTTGCTCTTTTAGTTCATTTGCCCCAACCCGTGTTGCTGTGATCCGGGCACGTTATTGGTGCTCTGAAAGAAGAGCATTTGAAACTGTAAATTTCACTCTGGTTTCCACCTCCCGGGAGATAACCCGAGGATGTGGGGTTTTGGTTGCATTGAAGCACTGAGGCGTATTCCTTTTTGTGCTGTGCCTATTTTTTAATCTTTTCTTGAGCTTTTCCTATTGTAGGTAGAGGGGAAAAATTTGAAATGTAGGAACTGCAAAGCAATGATTTTTTGGCTTTTAGCTTGATTCTTTTCCTGCTTGTGTGCAAAAAAATAATAAAAAAAAAAGAGCTGGTGCTTCAAAAACGATGCAGTAACTGCCTTTGGGGATGTAATTCAAAGTTGGTGAAAGCCATGGTTGTGACCTCTGAAACGTGCAGTAGAGGGGTAAGGTGCTGCAACCAGGAGCTGAAGGTGGGTGATGGGAGACGATGGGTGAGAGCAGTGGCTTCAGTGTCTCTGCAGCAGCAGCAGCTGAGGGTTGAGTGCCTATCAACAAATTATCTTCAAATCATCTTCTCTGCCTCCCTTTTCAATTCAACACTCATGCCAGCGTGCTAATCCCTGGGCTCCTGCAAATGCAAAGAGCTGTGGAGCAGTGAGGCAGGGCAAAATTAAATTGGCACCGGGGTTGTTTGGTTGAAGGGGACTGGAGATGACGTCTGAACTCAATGCAATTTGACTTCC